CCTGAACCCTCAATTAAAGGAAACTACAGGTGGGGAGTTTAGGGTATATAGGGTTTAGGGTTTAGGGTTTAGGGTTTAGGGAACTACAGGTGGGGAGTTTAGGGTATATAGGGCTTCTATAAGGCTTCTTGAAGGTATATAAACCTTCTATAAGGCTCCTATAAGGGTAACTACCCACCTGAAAAGGTCCAAGACTCAACCCAAACCTGCACCCCATAAAACCTAGCGTCCACACCCCCGGAAGGATCCAAAAAGTAGATCCCTTTTGGGAGTTCCTACAAAGTACCCCTTAGTAGTTTAGGGTTAGGGGATCTACTTTCTGGATTCTAGATCCTTCCGGGGGTCTGGGTTGGTTTCCTAACAAGTCCTTAAAAGGTAAGTTATTTGGGGCCCAGGAAACCCCTACACCGCACACCCCAATCCCCTAAACCCCAAACCCCCAAACCCCTAAACCCTAAACCCCAAAAACCTAAACCCCTAGACCCCTAGATCCCCACACCCGAACACAGGGCATCTCGGGGGAGCCTTTGCAGGCATTTCCGCCAGAAGGGCCGCCGCTTGTACCTCTGGGAGCTTGGGGAGTTAGGGTTAGGGCTTTAGGGCTTCAGGGGGTTTAGGGTTTAGGGTTTATAGGGTTTAGGGTTTAGGGCTTTAGGGCTTCAGGGGGTTTAGGGTTTAGGCTTTTAGGGTTTTGGAGTTGTGGGTTTAGGGGTTTTAAGGCTCTAGGGCTTTAGGGGGTTGAGGGTTTAGGCTTTTAGGTTTTGGGATTTCGGCTTTAGGGCTTCAGGGCTTTGGCGTTTAGCGGTTTTAGGGGTCTGGGGCTTGGCTGATGGACCGCTGAAGAATTGAAGCGAAGCAAACAACCCAGCTCTTCCAAGGTTCCTTCATTGAGGAACATACTGGTTTGGGCTTTAGTTTAGGGCTTGGGGCTTAGGGTTTAGTTTAGGGTTGAGGGTAGAGGGTAAAGATACCAAAATAGTGGAGTTTTAGGTACCAAACTCCATACTCTGATTGGTCCTTCGTACCTAAACCCTACTACTTGAACTGGGTACTTGGACCCTCTGGAATACGAGCGCTGTGTAGTGAAAGATATGCCCAATCTGTAATAAACGATCTTATTTGGAGGCCAGGCAAGAAAAAACTTGAAAAAATACTGTAGAACCTGCACAAACCACTTGTAAAAAAGGCGCGCAAGCCCTACAAATCCTGTAAAGCCCTGTTCCCTCCATCAGGCCGACATGTACGCTCAAAGGGCATCAGTTCAAATGCCAAAGAAGGGATTCATGGTATCGGTTAGGGTTTAGGGTTTAGGGTTTAGGGTTTAGGGTTTAGGGTTTAGGGTTTAGGGTTTAGGGTTTAGGGTAGGGCCCCTACATGTAAGGGTCACTTGGTCCCCGAGCTACAACCTGTAATCCCTAGTAGCCAGCCGAAACCCTAAACCCTAAACCCCCAGACCTTAGACCCAAACCCCCAAACCCTAAACCTTAAACCCTAAAGACCTAAAACCTAAACCCAAAATCCCCAGACCCTAAACCCCTACACCCTAAACCCCTAAACCCTAATCCCTAAACCCCTTGACCCCTAAACCTCAAAGCCTAAAACCCTAAACCCCTTGACCCCTTGACCCCTAAACCTCAAACCCTAAACCCTAAACCCTAAATCCTAAACCCTAAACCCTAAACCCTAAACCCTAAACCCTAAACCCTAAACCCTGAAACCCTAAACCCTAAGGCAGCTCTGCTGAACCTCGTACCAGCACTCTCTGGGCCAGACACCCACTGCTCGCAGCGCTCGCAGGCACTCAAGGCCCCGCTTGAAGTGATCAGGTTGGCCTCTCCCAGTGTTCAAAAGGGTCCCCAAGCTCAGGGCTTTAAGGTTTTAGGGTTTAGGGCTTAGGGCTTTAGGCTTTTAGGGTTTGCTTTAAAAGGGTCCCCAAGCCTTCAAAGAGGGCCTCCAAGCTTTTAAGAAGGCTCCCCCAAGCTTTCAAAAGCGTCCCCAAGCCTTAAAAAAGGCTGCCCAAGCTTTAAAAAGAGTCCCCAAGCTTTTAGGGTTTTGGGGTTTAGGGTTTGGGGTTTAGGGTTTTAGGATTTAGGGTTTAGGGGATTAGGGTTTCAGTTTCAGGGTTTAGGGTTCAGGGTTTTGGGTTTAGGGCTTTGGGTTTGGGTTTACGGGTGTTCGGGGGGGCAGGGTTCAGGGGTTTGGGTGCTTGTCTGCACCATTAACACAAACCCTAAACCCCTAATCCCTAAGCCTTAAAACCCTGAAGCAGTCTCCTTCTTTTTGCTAAAAGCGCACCGAAATCTCGTAGGCTTCGCCTTCGACACTTGGAAACCTCCCTTCGGGAGCCATCGTGAGACTCAGAGGTGCAATGCAAACCAGCAGCAGGTACCAAGAGCCAGTTATTGACTGAACTGCCTGCAGGGTTTAGGGTCTAGGGTTTCGGGCAGCAGGTGCCAAGAGCCAGTTCTTGGCTGAACTGGCTGCAGGGTTTAGGGCAGCAGGTGCCAAGCGCCAGCTATTGACCGATCTGGGTTCAGGGAGTTTAGGGCTTAGAGGGTGTTGTATGGCTTAGATCGGGCTTGCAGCTTTTTTTTCCAATGGTTTTGGGGTCTGTACGGTTTGGAGCTATAAACCTTAAACCCTTAAGGCTCAGATTAGAGTTTAAAGTTTATCGCATTCCCGCTTGTCGTCGAATGAACCCTACACCTTAAAACCTAAACCCTAAACCCCACACTGCCTGAAGGGTGCCGCTGATGAGATCACACGACTGCGCTGTGTGGAGTCGAATCTCCGAAGCCGCGAATGACGAAGAAGAGCTGCCTTAGGGCTGAGGGTTTAGGGATATAGGGTTTAGGACCTTAATGGGTACAAAAGGCTTCCGAAAAAAGGTAAGGTTGGTACAACGAATGTCTAAAATGGGGTCCGCCTTAACGGGCTTGGTCTGGGACTGAAGGATCAAAAGCGACTCCAAGAAAACCTTGACCCGCAGGGTAACGGTCCATGTGCTCAAATAGTATATACTTTGGCCTTAAAGTAGTCCCTAAATAAGTACTTTCGGGTTTAGGGTTTAGGG